ACAGGCGGAAGTCTGCACCCGGCACGGCTATCTTTTGCTACATAGGTAATTGGAGTTCAGCCTGGGCAATAGGAAACTCTGTCTTTAACAAACAAACAATTGAAAAATGACAAGGTGGGAGGTGGACTCCATGTAAAAACCCACTACTCTCATTGTGGAATTAACACCAATCCCAGCCAGGCTTAGAAAGGGAGGGACTACTTGCCAATTAAGCAGCATGTGGGGATGGTACGGGAGACTCAGATGAGTGAGTTTCCCATCAGCCCACATTAGGGAGTGTGGGAAGGCACAGATTTGTTTTCTTTGTTTGTGTTTATAATTTTGGATGGGATTGGGACCTCAGATTTGGAGATGTGTGTTAGGATGAACTTTATAAGGTCTTCCAGGCATATGAGTGATCTGAGGGAGCTCTGGTGTGGAGATGTACATTCAGGAGAGGTCAGAACACTGACAGCAGGAGTGTGCAGATGGAAGAAGGCAGGACCAAGCCGGGCCTGGCACTTCCATCAAGGAAGCCCAAGGCAAGGGAAGTGGAGTGTGAAAGGGATCATGGTAGACAGCTGCCCCAGTTGCAGAGGACAGGAGACCAGGTGGTAGCCCAGCAGGAACATGGGCAAGAGGAAGGGCAAGATGTGGGTGTGGAACAGGGCAGAAATGAGGTTGCATTTATTTCGAGCTCAGCATGTTCCCATGCATAAAAATGTTGAGAGGAGAAAGAAGAGGTTCCCTACAATTATTCCTCAAGCCAGTGGGAGTTCACCATGATTTCTTTAGCTGTCACATAGAGAGGAGGTGGGTCACTGGTGACTAGATGTGGGGGCGAACACAGAGGGGGTGAGTGTTGCTACCTCTCCCAAGTCATTTCAGCTGAAGATGATGGATGAGGGATGGAGGGGTGAGGAGAGACGGGGGGATTGAGACTGCCCATCACTTCAGGCAGAGACAGAGTAGAACTGGGGTGATTCAATACGGAAAGAAGTGTTGTCCCATGTCACAGAACCCTGGAACATCACAGAAAAGGTCCCTGTGGTAGTTCCAATAAGAATGACCCCATAGGCTCATTGAATGCTTAGTCATCTGAGAGTGGCACTATTTGAAAAGGATTAGGTATGGCTTTATTGGAGGAAGTGTGTCATTGGGGGTCAGCTTTGAGGTTCCAAATGCCCCCGCCAGCCCAGTCAGTGTCTCCCTGTCTGTTTCTCTGCCTGTGGATGAGGATGTAGCTCTTAGCTACTTCTCCAACACTTGCCTGCATGCTGCCATGCTCCCTGCCATAATGATGATGGACTAAGCCTCTGAAACTGTAAACAAGTCCCCAATTAAACACTTTCCTTTCTAAGAGTTGCTGTGGTAATGGTGTCTCTTCACATCGATAGAGCAATGACTAAGACAGTCCCCTGGGCTGACAGAGCAGTGCAGCTACTGTAACAAATGTGAGAAGTTACTTAAGGGAGCACATGCCTGGAAGGATCTAACTGCTACCAGTCTCTCCTCCAGCAGGCAGGAGGGACCTCCAGGAAGCAGGAACCTTGCCAGCTCTGTTACTGCTCTTCCTCTGTTGTAACAAAGGCACAAGGAAATTCTACAAGTTTCAGGATTCTAGAAGATTTCAGGCTTTCCAGGAAGGTAGGTTTAAGAAACAACAAAGTAAATAAGAATCAGTATTCTAATTAACTCACAAATAAAAGCATCACTCAGCTGGTAATAATGGAACCACACAAATACCTGTCCAATCCCAACTCTACACCTGAGTGAACTTCTAACAGTCAGATGGCTGTTTGGAGGCCATGGAGCTTTGCTTAGGGTTTTACAACTTTACTGTCAATTACATTTTAATCACTTATGCAATTATTATATTACCAATGCATCTATTAATTTATTTAAAAAGGACCAACTGAAGTTTATAGTTTTAAAATGCCAACCTAGCATATTTTCTTACAATAAAAACAGGGCCTTTCTTCTAAATCATGAGCCCCAATATTAAGCCTAAGACACAATGTTAACATCAGTGATTAATGCGAACAAAGAAACTAAGTTCCTTTATCAATAGAGAAAGCCTCCACTTCTTTTCAGCTCTTGATTGTAGTGAGATAGCCATCCTGCCTGTACCTGTACCCCACTTCTGGTACCAGATATTGAGTGGGAAATTAGATTTACTGGGACAAAGTATAGGTTGATTGATGTTTATGCGGGGAGAAATCGCTTACGCCTTGGGTTCCTGCTCCAAGCATGCCACCCAGATGCTCTCTGCAACCCGACCAGGGAGCAAGAGTGCAAGGGACCCCAGACTTAGCCTCCCACAGGTCAAGTACCCACCTGTGCCCACATCCCAATGGGTGTGGTCAGCGCAACAGGTGCAGGTGCGCCGGATGTCTCACTACACTTGGTTGTTCTGTTCCTTTCAAGAACAGAGAAGTTAAAAAGATGGTAGCAACTCTGTAATAATCACAGCCCAGAAAAGGTAGCTGTTGAGGATGCAAGAGAAACGTCCTGGAGACAGGAGACCTGGGTACCACCTGGTGTGGCAGTTTGTAAACACCAGGGAACGTGAGGTTGATATGGGACTTGGGCTAAGCTATTTAAAACCTCTGAGCCTCAGTTTACACACCTGAAAATGGGACTGGTGGGATCTGTGAGAAACAAATGGCTTAATAGGTATGAGTACTTCCGGAGAGGTTAGGACATGCCAGACACCCAGAAAATTATCCTCAGGGTTAGGGGGAAGAGGAGGGGGAGAAGAGGGAGAAAGTAGGGGAAAGGGGGTAAAAAAAAAAAAAAAAAAAAAAGAAGAGGAGAAGGCTTAAGTTAACTCCCATCTTTAGGGGAAAAGCGCTCTGGCTGACTTCCCTTGGGTGCAGTCAGCACATCTCTGGGCAGCTGCTCTGATTTTGTCAGAACAAGTTCCCAGCACATATCAGCAGTGGGAGGGCAGCTCAGAGAAACGGCTCCTTCAGCAACTTGTACAACCTGCACCTCCATTTCATGCCTTACATCCTCCCCTCCCCTCCCTTCCCCTCCCCTTCCCTCCTCTCCCATTTCCTTCCTCCCCTCCTCTCCCACAGCCACCAACACCTCCTCACTTCATTTAGACTGTTGCTTTAGAACTAGGCTGCCTGAAACCATGGTAACCTAATAAAAAAGTGCACATCTCTACTCTGGTCCCTCCTGGAATCTTTCCAGCTCCTCCTCCAGTGATCTTTCAGTCCCAGAGTTGGACCTGGTACTCCTTATTTCTACCCTTCCATGTATCCTTGGAACCTGTTTCTGTACCCTGTTTAGATTTGTTTTACTTTCTTGTCTCTGGGTATTGTCTCTCAGCTTGCATTTGGTTCTTCTCATCACAGTTTAGCACAGGCTGATGTTTCAGACTTACATTTCCCAGAGGCTGTTCTCTCTTATCTAACAAACCCCAGCCATCCATTTAAGACTGCTCAGTCTCCAAAATGCCTTCCCATGGTGAGTGAGAAATTGGGATTCTATCTCTCTTTATCTACCAATGTTTCTCTCCAGAATGCATCTTTGAGCTTCCAACAAGAGTGCTTTATTCTCATGGTCTGACCTTGAGCATTGCCTGAGTGCTCAGACTTGCCCAACACTGAGTGAAAACACAAATGTGTGCATGTGCTCATTGATGCACGCACACGAGTACACACACACACACACACACACACACACACACACACACGGTGGGGGTCAGCGTGGGGAGGATGCTAAGGCTGCTAAGGCACCTTCAACACTGACGATGAAATTCACTCCCAGTACAGCAGGAGACCTCGGCTTTCCCATCTCCCTGTTCTGGGTCTCCATGTACCATCCGCAGGCACTCCCAACACTCCACTTGTCATTTCTCTTAAGATTTCACAAAATGCATACTTTGCAACACCCATATACTAATTTTCTTGGGATGGAGCTAACTTTGGGGTCAGAAACTAAATACCACTTTCAGAGTACAGACAAAAGAGAAACCACTGCCCAGAGGAAGAGTCAGAAGGTAACAGCGTCGCTAATTGATTTTTGTTTTGAGTTGGCAAAGCATGGGAGGCCTTCCCAGGGCTGTTGGGCAACAAATGCCTAACAATACCATGTCACTCAGTACAATGTAAAGAACACAAAACTGGGGGTTGGGTGGGTGGCCAGCCCACTGTGCTGCAGACCAGCTTTGTCATGTCAGACTCTCAGGAGATCTGCTGCTCTCTGGAACGTTCTATTATTGGGCCTAGGCCTGATACACTGAGAAGGCTTGCCAACCTGAGGAATCAAGGGCATTTCCTAAATGGAAAACGATGCAAAGTACAACCATGCACAGGGCAGGAGAGACACGTCCTGCTAGTGAGGGCCAGGAAGCAGGCTCATGGATTTCAGATCCCCCCTTAGATGAAATCCATCATCGTAAGCATCAAGAATCAAGAAGATACTGCCTTTTCTATCTTGTTCTGTTTTGTTTCGTTGTTTAAGAAAAGGGTCCCCAAGCTATACAATGAGATTAGAGACAGGTTAAAGTTGAGAGGCAAGGCATGTTTCTCAGATCTCTGTATTTGGCAGTGAACTAATACTGTCCTTGGTCGCCGCTAGTTCCCCGGTGAATGAAAGTGAACTTTAGGCAGAGAAGAAGACCAGTGTTATGGAGAAGGCAGACTCAGCAGAGCAGCACCATGGGCTCTGTTGCTTAGCAACCTGTTTCATCTCCCTGAGAGAAGTAATGGCTCTAGGAGGGAGGTGACACATGGAGGATGATGGAGGACGAATCCTCAACAGACCCATTTCTTACAAAGCTGAGGCCATGGGAATGTCTGTGAGGCAGCCTGTAGAGCAAGGAATGGCTGTGCCAGGGTCATATGTTCTTATGATAGCAATGTGCTGACAGTCAGAGTCAGAGATCAGACCTTTCTGCAGAGCTTCACAGCCACAAGGGAAGGAGAGGACGAACTCCCACACAGAGGTGACAGAGGATGTGGGGGAGGTGGGACCCCCCCCAGGTGCTCTATGTACTATGGACTTACCGCTTATCCATTTTGCCTCCGGGTCATGGATTTTGAAGTCTTCACTGAAGAGATCTTCCACAGTCACCTTCTTCTTTTGAGACAGACTAGTATCTTCCGCTAGAGAGAAAAGGATGGAGACAGTTAAACACTGCAATGGTTAAAAGACCACACAAGGCACTGTGATAGCCATTCAGAAACAGTGAACATGGTCAAACAAAATTATGGATTGTGGACAGTGGATGAAAGCCAGTCTTGCTCTTCTTTAATGAAACTATCAAAAACTAGGACAAAGCCATTATGGCTCTGTAAAATTCCCTATATGTGAATACACACACACACACACACACACACACACACACACACACACACACACTATCCTCTTTCTTAGGCACAGAAGTGAATGTGTGCCTCAAGCTGGTAAGGATTATCAAGAGAAAAGATATGCTTGTCCAAAACAGAGTTCAATGTCCTGTGTAGAAAAACTGGTTGTTAGGAGTTGAAGGATACAGGAAACATTTGTATCACCTGTCTCTGGCCATCTTTGGGTTAAGGGTTAATTCTTGTCCAGATCAATGGACACCTCAAATATCTGTATGTAGATTCCCAGGACTGCCCTCCCCATCTTGACTGGAAGCACCTGGGAGAAACTTTGGGAAGTTGGTGAACTAATATCTATCTGGAGAGGACATGCTCAGTTAATGGTCCCTCTCAAGCAGGCTTGACAAGCTGCCGGCTTTTATCCTATTTACAGAAGTCAAAGTGTGCTGTATTTCAGCTCTCCCTCAGAAGAGGCAGTCTCCATTAGAGCCACAAAGTCCATTTGTCTGCTTAGGAAAGACAAGGATCTCCAGGAGGCCTGAGTGAACAGTGGGAATACTCAAGACTAGGCTGTCCAAGTTACTTAACTTATTTTTTACATGAATAAGAGACTAGACCTTCAATAAAAGCATCGGATACTTTGTCTATTTAAAATGCTTGCTTCCTTCCCTGTTCTCTTAAGCAGAAGATGCTAAGTCCACTGGATTTCCTTAAAGGCTTGGGTCTTCATTTTTATCAGCTCAGCTATGATGTGGGGTGATCTCAATTAACCAGCGTGTGTGCATCCTGTATGAAGTAGCATTGATTTTTGTGGCTGTTTTCAGGGGTTTAGGGGATTTAACCTAAGTCCTTATGCATGACACCCAAGCAATTAGCTCCAGGTCATTGTTTTTCTGCATCTGGTTTCTGGTTGTTAAGTTTGTATTTGTTTCCAATTTCGGGCTATTGATATCTTGGGGCTGCCACTGTGCTTGCTTTCTGTTGCTCCAGTTGCTATTTATTTATTTATTATTTCCAAATGTGTAGTGTGTCTGGACCATAGCAAGAAACTTGGTAGTGATTGCATATGGAACAAAGAATGATCTCTGAACAAAGCTCCCAATGCTTTTACGATTTCAGTTTTAGGTTTTATTGAGCCACCTTGAGATCCATACTTCTGGCTTCTCTGGATGTTACATATTATAGAAATCACTAGAGAATCTGCGGGTCCCTGTGTGGACCACATAGGCCTGCCTATCAACTCCTTCTCTCCTGTTATACTAACAAGGGACCCTACTTTAACTAGGCCATTTCTGAAATGCATTGAAATTTGTAGATGGACTGATTTCCTGAATACTAAGTGGGGATTACTGTGAACAAAAGTCTTGAAAATCGCAATGAGATACAATTGAAGGTGTCCTTACTGTGAGACATGACCACACATGGAGCAATCAAGGTTCCAAACATAACCTCTTAAAACAAGCCAAGTCCTTCCCTTTCGTGGATTTCCATCTGCCACTGAAGAAACCACAGAAAAAAGCAGTTTAAAATGTGATGTGTTTTGGCCTCCATGAATATCAGGCATGTATGTGATGCATATACATATATATGGGCACTCACAGTTTTACATAAAATGAAATAAATAATCTCAAAAACTCTTATTTTGATTTTAAGGTTTTTTTTTAATAAACATGGAAGTTTGTGGTAAAAGCACTGTGTGTGTGTGTGTGTGTGTGTGTGTTCTATTTAGGCAAGAAACTTAAATTTGCTCATATTCAGCTATATATTCCATAGTTATTCTCTGCTGTGCCTCTGGACCCTTGTGTGGGACTTTGCAATCCATTACCTTACAATGATTCATTCCCTGTAACTTTTGAGGTGATGATGAACATGATCAACAAATTGATGTGTCCATGAGCCATGGTGAGCCCAAATGCAGGGAGCTCATGAAGTCACAGAGCCAAAGCCAAGCTAGCAATAGAACACAACAGCAAGAGCGCAAGAGCCTCGAGGTTGCCAGGTCTACCCCATAGTCAGAAGGAGTAAGATGAAGGAGGAATTCTGGGATGGCTTTCCCAAGGAAAGAATAGTTTAGCTTAGATACAGGCAAAAAAAACCCAAAAAACAAAAAACAAAACAACAACAACAACAAAAACAAAACAAAACAAAAAAAAACAAACCAAACCAAAAAAAAAAAAAAAAAAAAAAAAAAAAAAAAACCCACTCACACTAGGAAGGGCTACAAGGCAAGAACTGCCAGTAGGTTTGGTACTCTGAGGACACAGCTTATTGGCAAAGCCGACAGCATGTGCAGGAAGCAACATAAGACAAAGGTAGACAGATTCTGTCATTATGCTCAGAAGCTGTTAGATGATGTTCTCTTGTGGGTTTCCTTTTCAAATCTGGGGTGGGAGTCTGTTGCATATACAGTCTAAGAATGAATGAATCTCATCAGATGGTAAGTTACCTCATTCAGTATCACTCTCCCTGTCCTTCGTGCCTCAGCTTCTGAAGCTCTACCCAGGTCCCACAGCCTCTCTCCCAGACAGCCTCCACCCGCGCTCTTGCTGACTGCCACGTCTTTGAGTGCATCTGCCTAACTCCTTCAGTCCTGTCTCCCCAATTTTGTGTTTTGAAGTGTGCCTGATGACCTTTTCACACAACTCTTAGGTTCTTAAGTGTAAACCTGTGTATTTTAATTCCTAAAATTCATGATTAGCTTTTCCAAGATCACTGGTTCCTCTTCCTCATTTCTGTCTTCTTTAATCACATTTATAGTTCTTTTAAAAAAACCTATTTAACAAAAAACATTTTCCCTCTGGACTTGAATTCCTTGGGCCTGAATCTTCCCTTGGGTTAGCTGATGTTTCACTATATTGGGGCCCAGCTTCTGTCACACAGGAGTCCTGGGTTGTGGGAGACTCCTGGCTGTGTGGCCTTATGAATGATGCTGATGGTTTGGACACCATGTCTGGATCATATCTCCTGAGTAGCTCTCAAGTGGCCTGCTGCCTAAACAGGTGATATGATTCCAGCTCCTCTCACAGTGAATCCAACTTTAGGACAGTTCATTCCCCAGCCTCTAACCTCTCCTATTCACTGATATTCTCACCCTCTGTTACGTATGTGTGTTTGGGTTCTGTTGAGTTTGTGCCTGGTACTTCCTTCAAGGATTCCATTCCATTCCATTCCATTCCATTCCATTCCATTCCATTCCATTCCATTCCATTCCATTCCATTCCATGGGTGTGAAGAACTCATTTTGCTGCTTCTCAGGGCAGCCATGCATCTATGTGTGTCCTTCTATAACTTCTCTGTGCATGGAGCCAAGATGAGGAAGCCAACATGTCTAGTTTCCCTCTTAAACCAGCAGTCAGCCTCAAGTTGGGGATAAGAGTAGTAGTCATAACACCTTTTCTAAGTTGCCTTTTGGACACTGATTTTAAATAGGCCAAGGTTGGGAACATCTTCTCTAGTAGGGATTTTAAAACATGAAATAATTCCCACCACCTAGGACATGCTTAGCAGTGGCACCTGCAGCACGTATTCTGAGGTGTCTTCTCCTCCTGGACATTTTGGGTGGAGACAGTCTTCTCCAGAGTCTGCCTATGATGTTCTATTCCTGTGACAAGTGAAGGCCACTCCTGGACAATCTTTAAGGGTCAATGGCACTGTGCCTCTTACGGTCCCCATAGAATAAGGCAGAATAGCCACTGAGAAGGAAACTGAAGCCACTGAGACATCATGGGACTTCTCCACAGATGTGCAGCAGGCAGATATGACAGCCCATGTACTCAGTTTCGAAGCCCAAAGAAGACATGGGTTAGAGAAGGTAGCTCCACAGAGGCAGTGAGACTCGCATGCCAAGGTTCAGTCAAATGGCCTCTCTAACACAGAGCAATGCCCTTACAAATACTTCAGAAGAACATGGTGAACAGATACCGTGGCTCATATCTGTAACCGCAGTTCAGCCAGAAAGACTGAAAGTTCAAAGCTAGCCTTAGAATTATACAAAAGTGTGTCTCAAAAATCAAACAAAAGAAAGACAAGAAAAGAAAGGGAAAGACAAGAAAAGAAAGAAGGAGGAGGTAGAGGGAAGAGGCAGAAGAGGAGAGCAACAAGGAAGCTGCCAATTTATTCTCAGGTGTTCTGATACCTCACTCAATGAGTCAGAAAACCTGTTTGGGAGGGGGCTTCTGTGAGAATGTAGGTTACCTGCTTGGCTCTGCCAGCGCACCAGGCTCTGCCATGAGCTGGAAGCAGCACTTCTCATTAGACTGTATTTAAAATACAAACAGCCACCCAGGGGCACCTGCCTCAGACACTGCTTGCCCTCCCTTGTCCTAACCATAAGGAGAGAATGTTTCAGTATGTGATGAGACCCCAGGACAGGGAGAGCTTGGCAAAACACAACCTGGGGTTTCCAACCTCTTTCCCAGCTAGTGTCCAGCCAATGTGGACTGTTCATCAGATACGAGCTCTGCTCAGAACCAAGAAGGTGGCATCTTATACCTACACAGAAGCCCTGCAGACAGAAAGGCTACAACTGAGATCTAGGGGCACTCTCTCCTGCCACACAGTGTTGCTGATGACAAAACATAGCTAAATGCATTTTCCCCCCATAGAATTGCTGTGGAATATATCAGTCCTGGTTATAAAGCTAAGTAACTATGGTTGGGTTGAGAATGACATTGAGACACCTCACCTCATGTGAGTGACTGCAGAAGGGTTATAGGAAAACCTGCCCTCAACCACTCTGTAGGATGTTTCCTTTGGACTGGATCACAACGGCCACACCATCTTTTCTTCTACAAAGAGTT